GGGGGTTGTTGGCGGGGGGAGGGTTGGGATGTCGGCGGTGGGCCGAGGCGTTGGGGTGCGGGTCGCGGGAGGGGCTGTACGCTGTCTAGTGCTTCTTCTATATATTGCTCCGGCGATGTTGGCGAGTTCGTCTGTGTAGGTGGCGAAGGGGGGACACCGGGGTTTGCGTAGAAGCGCGGAGAGAGGGGCGTGCGTGCTTCGTCGTCGGAGTCTGCGCCTGGGTATTTCGCTATCGGGCCTGAGATACGCAGGTTCTTCAAGTTGAAGCGCGCATTTTTGCTTCCGGTGGAGTTTGTGTTGGAGTTTTGGGAGCGCTTCGATAGGATACTGCGGGGGCTTGGGGGTGGGTGGGCGTCTGCGCGGAGGTGAGCGTTGTGAGTGGATGCGCTGGGTTGTTGGACGCTGTAGTTTGGTGGGTAGATGGCTTTTACGGGCGAGATTGGGGTTTCGGTGTGTGATTCCGGGCGCGCGATGCTGATGTTTGAGGGTCGTCGGCGCTCGGTGGGTCGTGGGATGGGCTCTGTTTCTTCTACACTGACTTTGGACGAGTGCTTTCGTTCGTCGAAATCCATGACGGCGGCGTAGAGACGCTCCATATCTGCTTGTGCTTGATCCCGGTGGGCATCAACAACCTTTTGGTCGAACGAACTTGGTGACTGAACAACAGGACTCTGTGGGTTGCTAACAGAGTCGTTCCTGTTTCTCTTGAACTTCCCGAAAAACGACCGCGCGGATAGCGGTGGCGATGTGAGTCCAGCTGTTCGGATAGCCGGTACAGTCGGTTTGTCCTGGAGTTCCAGCTCCAATTGCTTGGGCGGGTCGAGAGCCTTTCGTCTCATCTTTCTACCAACGGTGAGGAGAAGAACCCCCCAGATAAGTACTGTAAAGACGTAGCCGCCAACAACACCGCAAATCTCGTACGGCAGAACGTTCTTGTCTCGGACAGCGTGATATGAAGCAGGAGGCCCCTCGTCAGCCGCCGGCGTGGGGTCGCGATAATTATCGAGAAAGTCGTAAGGCGCAGCAGAAACACGCGATGCAACAAGAAGCAGTGAGATGAGTGCCGGAGGAAGCGCTCCGACGAGCATCGTAATCCGCGCCCTCAGTCAAGGGGGGACTGGAAATATATAATGAGAGAGGAATAATGTGACAATCAGAGGGGCGGTCTATCTTTCGAGCTGCTGCTGCTGCTTCGTCCAGGGTGCAATGTCGATCTAGGGCCGCAATTGCACATGAATGAGTGCCCGCTATCCCGACTGAGAGGAACCGGGTGAAATGCAGAGTGTAACATGCAGGCGACATGGTGATAGGAAGAGGATGGGCAGCGGGTAAGACTTTGATCGGCGGTCTGCAAGTGGTCGGATGCAAGGAAAGAGGCGACTGGGTGTGATGGCTTGGGGAAGGTTGCATGCGCGGTCTGATTGGTCGGCCTAGTTCTTGAGCTACATGGGGCGTCCAGTGGATGAAGTCTCTCAGCCGCTGAGGCGGGGCTCGCTTCGTTCAAGCTAGAGCGAAATGGGATCAGCCGATGATAAATCTCGACATTCGAGGCTTGAGCTATGAGCATGAAGTCTACTCGGTGATACGCGCAACTGTTGTACTGTGCAATTGTTGCCGTTGTGGTAAGAACAACCTCGAGAAACATGTTTACCCGTGCCGCAACGCTCGAGCACAGTACTCGAGACTACCAACCTCCCGGACATGCGCGATCGCCTGCCAGCTCGGGGCACAGTCAACGGGAGACGGTCCGCATGCATGAAAGGCTGCCCCTGCACGCCAGAGAATGCGCACCTATTGCGCCATTTCTATTGGCTGGACAAATCTATTCTAAGCGCCCAGATATGCAAGAGTATGCGAATCAGCGCACAGTCACACCATCACACTAGCAATCACGCATCACGAGCCATCACAGAGCCACTATACTGGCGACTTGAAGTAGATAATCCGGCATCTGACCCTGTGAATGGCGAGTCGGACATGTAAATTCTACGCGGCCTCGTGGCTTAATGCAACGAAAGTCACAGACTAGGCTTGCAGCAAGGACCGATTAATAGCCCGCATCACCCCCCCGATGCTGTGACAGCCGTTCGCATTGGCCGTACTCCTCTTTCGTTCACGATTCATGCAACACTTTCGGCACTTTGGTATGCCTTACAGACAGGCGCTGGTGGAGGGATAACGTGGCTTTATTATAGCCTCGACTGACTGCGAGTCGTCATCACTATCACTACCTAAGGAAGCATCGTACCGATGCTGGATTAAGCGAATGCTAGCAAACATATCTGCCCCAGGAGAGCTATGGGAGCTTACCCTGCCGGGACTGAGCACCGAGGTGGTGTACAATACGCAGTTTGGAGTGAGGTGGGAGGCATCACTTGCCCTCTGCCTTGGCCGTGAGGGTGGCGTCCAGACCGGTAGGCTCCCAGAGACTCTTGTCTTTCTTGTTTTGTACCCACAGAATATCGCCTTTGAGATACGCCACTGCGCCTCCGCGTCCCGTTGCGCTCGCTGTGACACGGAACAGCGGCAGACCGGTCTGGTCGTGGGCTTCGCGGAGGGGGATTAGAAGGAGGTTCTCTTCGGCGCAGAACTCCTCTACAATGTCTTTGAAAGTCGGCTCGTCGACTTGCGGTGTAGGACGGGATGCTTGTTGATTGACGGACTTGGAGAACTGGGACACTTCTGGCGAAGCTCCCGTGCTTTCAACCTGAGGCGCGGGCAGATCTGTCAGTCTCGCATCGCCAAGATCCAATGCCGTATTGATGAGTGAGTATGCCTCGTTCCATGACGAAGCGACTGATGGCAGATTGTTGATGTCGTCCTGCAAGATCTCAGTCCTCCACCAGGTAAGCCACGTTTGTACTTCCTCAAAGACCACTTCCGGGCTCGTGAGCCACTGATGGATGATCTCGAGAAACTTGGGGAAGAACTGTGCTTTCAGAAGCTCTCCAATAACCTCGTTCGATATCAGTCCTTTCCAGGCGAATACAGCCTCGAGTGGCGCAAGATCTTGTTCGGCGGGGTTGATCTCAAAGCTGTCTCGTAGGAAGGCGGACAAACGAGGTACCAGATGGGAAGTGAGTAGATGATCAAACTCCGCCTTTCCAAAGACCCTTCTCCACTGTTCCATCCCTGGCAATGGACCTTTGGAAAGATCGATAGACTGCAGTGCATGGCGGATCTTGCGCTTGATCTCGGCGACCAGGCCTGATCCCTTGGGGTCCAAGTCCGCTGGCCTAAGGAAAGGTAGCCACTCGACGATCCATGTATGTGGGCTCTTCTTGAACTTTCGCGGGTTCCACTCGTGGACAGAAGTGGAGAGTTTTGTAGTCACCTGTTTAAGCACCCTCTTCGCGATGAAGGGTGGGAGAACTGGCTTCCAAACTTCTAGCAGGTGCACCATGGGCTGTGGGTTCTTGACGTCCCATTGTGTTATAGCTGAGCTTACTCTAGGTAGCCAGTATTTGAGCATCATGGTCTCATATGACGATGTGGTGCCGCGTTTTATCGTGTCTTCTTCGTCGATTGCGGTGCGACTGACCAATGCTTCGGAAGGGTGGGTGTAGGCCTGGGATGCAACCCTCCTACTTCGGGGCTGTATGATATTCGCCATTTCAGAGAAGGCTGCCGCCACGCCTCCAGCGCACCAGCGCACCCTCGAGCGGCTCCCAGGAAGCAATCGCTTTGGAGAAGTGGGGATGTATGACGGCAATGGATTCACGGTGTAGTGGCTTGGACGGGTAGGCCGCGCGCAGGCTCTTGAGACCTTCGCAGACAACGTCAAAGGTACCTGTACGTAGTGACTCAATCGCGCTTGTAGGTCCTCGAGCTCGTCCATCTGCTTTTCGAGCGCTTCCAATTCTCTATGCAGCGCGTATTCCTGAGGGGGAATGGCTTGCGACTCAACCTGACAGCTGTTCGAATGCCTCTGAGAAGCTATTCAAATCTTGACGTACGCCGCGCTTGTAAGGAGTTCTCGAACGGGACAATGTCAGGACCGCGGAGTGACATGCCTGAAGTAGGGTAGACGCGCCGGTTGTCGCATCGATAATGGATTGTAGCGCAAGTGGGTACATGCATACCAGCCTGTTCGAGTTCGAAGACGGTCTTCTTCGGTCGTGGAGCTGAGGTTCGTGTCTCGCCCCGAGCCTTGGCCTTTCGCTTCTTCTTCTCCTTTCCGCCGCTCCTCTTCCGACGTGTCGACATACTTCTCGCCCATTTGCTTCGGCCTTGCGCCGCTCTTCGCGCCGTTGCTGCTGCTCGCTCTTTTCTGCGACGATACCAATACCCAATACCCGCCCTTGGTGCCTCGATTCACGACCTGGATGGGCTCTGAGATACCACCACCTTCTTTTCCAAGACCACCCTCGCCCTTGTATCCCATCTTCGCCAGCATCTTGGCACCGAAGCCAGACTTGAGCGCGGAGCCATCCTCAGCCTTTGCCCGCTTGTTTGGTTGTTGGCGAAAGCTGTGCTTGCGCTTGCCACCTTCGTCCATGGTGGAGCTGTTCGTATGTGAGAATGTTTGAATACGAGAGTATTATTGGCAGAGGGCAGCTGTTCGGCGCGCGCGATATGTCTGGTAGTGGAATCGATGTCGCAGTCGGTGTCGCAATATTTGGGAGTGAGTCAGGCAGACATGCGTGCCACGTGATTCGTCGTGGATGAACCGTGGGCGAGGCGGGAGTGTTGTCCCAAAAATCATGTTCAGTCGCGAGTTCTGGGTGACAGCGCCAAGAACCGTTAGGTCTGGGTCGCTCTTGCCGTAACGTGCTGCGTGCTATTCTTGGAAAGGATCGGGGTCGATCACCCTCCACCCATGTCCGGTTCGGTGCAACAATCACACCAGAAGTCTCCTTTACCAGCGTCGCACCGCAGTCAAGTAGAGACTCCTTCACCGCTGCGGCGTTTCTCTGCTGTCTGTCTTTGTGATGACTTCCCCCAAGACTGACAGCGACCTCCGTCATCCGGTGCCCGATCTCCAATCGCTGCAAGGGGCATATGTCGGCAACATCGAACGCCTGGAAGAACATGCCGAACGCATGAGCGAGTCCGGCTCAGACCTGCAGGAGGAGATTCGGAAGACATATTCGGAACTCAAGCTGACTGACAGCCGGCGATCGTCATTGCGTTCACTACAGACTACCGACCTCGAGCCTACGAGACAGGCCAGCACCCGAAGTCGCGGCGTCTCGATGAGCTCCCACGCAAATTCAATCGTAGACCTCAACGGAAATGCAAGATGGGGCGGTTACTCTCCGGGCGGTTACATCACCTCTCCTGCAGGGTCTCTGCGCTCAGGGACAGGCAACTGGTCGAAACCCTCGACTTCGGTCCAGCGCCAGCGCTCGGAGTCAAAGGCATCGCGTCTCGGACAGATTGTACACCCGGAGGAAGTCGAGGAGGAACAAAATGAAGAGCGTGACTCTGCTTCGCCGCCCCAACGGAAGGTCTCGTCCTTTACACGCATATTCGATGAAGTCGCGAATGGTCTGCCAGAAGAGCTGCGTAACAGTATCCATATAGGCACCCCACCTAGCCAGCCGGAGCCCGACGAAGAAGTGCAGAACCAATATGCAGACTACCGCGATTTCGTAGACCGACCGCCGACGGCAGCCTCGACCGACACCACACACCAAGCACGTACACTATGGCATGACTTTGATGGCGTCCACTGCCCAGATACTGTCGAGGAGGAACCCGAACCATCTCACCACAGCCACAGCCGACATTCCTCCAATCACTCCTCCATGATGAGATCCAATCCGAGCGTTCACTCAATAGGCGCACCGCCGCCGGACGATAGCATGGTCTTCTACCCGGCCCCTGTACCGAAGATGCTGAATCTGCCCAAGCGTTTGTCACAATTGCCTAATATGAGTCAGCAAGCCAATCGTCGGTCACGGTTGTTGGATTCCATGCAAAACGAGCATAGAAAATCGATGCCGTTACTTGGTGATAACCTGGCAGACCCGAAGCCTAACAACAGGAAGAGTAGGCAAAGTCTCATGGCTCTTCCACCGCAACTACGAGCAAGCGCTTACTTTGACAACCGAGCCGCCCCTACTCAGGAGTTTGCGGTCAAGGGAGAGTCTGCGGAGGATACGCTCGAAAGCATCCTGGACGCTTCTGCACATGCTCCTGTGTCTGCGTTCACTGATCATCCATTTGCTGGGCATGTCGGCGACGAAGTGTACGGTGCGGAACGCAAGCGCAGAAGTTCCAAACTACCAGAGATGCCACCGACACTGGCAGAGACGCGAAGACGCAGCTCGTTCAATCTACTGGATACTGACCACAACGCAAAGGGCGAGCGCCTGAAGAAGTTGAAGAAACGAAACAGCTCTGCTGACATGAATCTATTGCTTGTCAAAGCAAGCGAAAGCCGGATGAGCCTCGGTGACCAATTAGAGGAGCGTGATGAGGACGCACGAGGACCGGATGGACGTGATCCCGATGCTGTTCGACCTTCGTTTGAAGAACATCCGGAAGACCATTATCAAGAAGGAGAAGAAGAAGAAGAATCCAGCGAAGAGGAAGGGGAGCCGGAGCCACAATACGGTGCACCGACCACTCTTCTCGCCGAGCTTCAGCTACGCAAGGCGAAACAGCAGACTCGGAAGATGAATTACGTGACGCTGATGGAGCAGGGATTGATTGACGGTAGACAGACCCTGCTCCAAATGAACGACGTGGCCGAAGCCGAGAAGCAACGACGAATCCGCAAAAAAGTAAACCTCGCCTGGGAAGCTCCACCAGAAGAAGACTCGGATGACGACGTGCCGCTTGGTGTTCTCTACAGACCTCAACAGCAAATGCGTCAAAAGAGCATGGGTCTTATCGAGCAGCGAGAGTTGGAGGACCGCGAACCCCTAAGTAGCCGTCGCACGAGGCTACTAGGCATTGACCCTAATCAACGACGCACGCAATACCTCGGAGCCTCCTCAAGCCAACTCAACCTCCCAACCATCACGACTCCCGAACCAGAGTCGGATGAAGAGCCAGGCGAGACATTGGCTGACCGTATGCGCCGCATCAAGGAGAAGCAACAGCGCGAATCAGCACTCGGTGATGTGCGCAAGAGTACAGTGAGCGATGACTTCGCCTCTGAGATGATGAGCAAGTTCGGTGTCCCAGAAGGCCAGGAGCAATCCAAAGACACCCCTCCAGCACCCCCACCTGCTGCTGACGACGAAGAGGAAGAGGAGACCCTCGGCCAACGTCGCGCCCGTCTGCAGGCCGAAGCGGCCCTACGAGGCGAACAAGCCCCCCAATCCGGCCACCGACCCAATCTCCGTTCCTCCAGCAGTCTCGCCGACATCCTCTCCGCCAATCCCATCGACCCGCACAACCAAGCGCGCAAAGTCTCCAACGAAGCCCTCGTCTCGCACCTCCCCCAAGGCAGTCTCCTCCACCAAAATGTGCTCGACCAAGAGCGCAAAAAGCAACAACGTCTCACCGCCACAATGCGCGCCACATCCTATGGCTCCATGGACCCACTCCTCAAAAATATGACCAACAACCAGAAAGACGACGACGACATCCCGCTCGGCCAGAAAATTCAAGCCTACAAGAACGCCCAGAACCCCATGATGATGGCCAACCAGCAAAGAATGAGCGCCATGCCGCCGCAACAGGGTATGATGGGCATGCAGATGCCTGGCATGATGAATGGGATGGGACAACATCAGTCTATGATGGGCATGCCTATGCAGATGGGCATGCAGCAGCCTGGCATGATGCAACAGGGTGGCATGATGGGTATGGGATCGCACATGAATGGCATGGGCATGCAGATGAACGGGATGGGTATGCAGATGCCGATGCAGATGGGCGGTATGCAGATGAACGGCATGGGAATGGGTGGTATGCAGATGGGCGGTATGCAAATGGGGGGCATGCAGATGCCGATGGGTATGAATGGGATGATGCATGGGGGGATGATGGAGCCGCCCATGGATCCCAGACAGAGGGATCAGATTGATCGGTGGATGCAGGGGGTTAGGCATTAGTTTTGTCTTTGGGTGTAGAGGGCGTGTTTACTTGGAGCATGTTCTAGTGTAGCGTGTTTCGGTGGTATGTGGCATCTGGCATTTCTTTGGGACAGCATCGTACAGCGTTAGAAGGGTTCGTTAGCAATATCTGCATTATCAGCGTTTTGGACATACAGTTGGCATAGTTTTGAGCAATTCTCAGGGCATATATATGGGACGAAGGATGATATACGATTTGTAATCTTGCATTAATCCATTCGCTTGCATTACTACACTACATACACTATGAAGATCGTTCATACTTGACCAGACGCTAGCTAACGGCGAGTTAGGAACCTCGTCCTGCCGCAGGAGCATCAGATCTACTGGAAGCGCTTCTCAGCGGCCTTCCAGTTGATGACGTTCCAGATAGCCTTGAAGTACTCGGCCTTGCGGTTCTGGTAGTCGAGGCTACGAGAAGGTTAGTCTTATGTCCATGATCAAGACTCCAGAATGAACTTACTAGTAAGCGTGCTCCCACGCATCAACACCGAGAATAGGACGGAACTGCCCCACGACCGGATCCTGGTTCGCATACGTCCTGATCTGAATAGCACCCGTCTGGGTATCCTGCACCCAACCACGCCCAACCGCTGCCCTGAATACCCGCAAGCGCCGTGTTGAACTTCTCCTTGAACGCATCAAGGCTGCCGTAGCTGTTGTTGATAGCAGCAGACAGGGCGCCAGACGGGGGCTCGCCGCCGCCCTGGTTGGTAGGCGCGAGGTTCTCCCAGAAGAGGCTGTGGTTGATGTGGCCGCCGCCGTGGAAGTTGATCAAGGGCTGCAGGGCAATTTGCGCCTTGATGTCTTCTTTTTGCTTGGCTTCGGCGATTTGCTCGCTGAAGTTGTTGAAGGAGGTTACGTAGGTGTTGTGGTGGTTCTTGTGGTGGAGCTCCATGATCTTGCCGGAGATGGAGGGTTCGAGCGCGCCGTAGTCGTCTGGGAGCTGTTAGTAGGTGGTATCTGTAGGAGATAGAATGAGCTCGTACATGGGAGGTCGGGCAGCGTGGCCTTGCCGCGAACGAATGTCGTGCCTGCGAGGCCGGCGCGAGATGTGGTGGGAGCTGCGGCTCGGGCTGCGGAGCGCAGGGCTGATGTGCGGAGGAGTGCGGTGTTCATGGTGGCTTCAATTGAGGTGGTGCGTTCAATTGGGTGCGTGGTGTTGTTGTTAGTGTTGTGGTTGGGCTTCAATCAACGCATATCGTTGTAGTTCTGTGCTCAATCTCCACATATGTGCGTGATGACGTGCACTCCAATCTTGCCTTCTCTTCTGATCCCAGCGAGACGGCTCGCCAGTACTAGGTAGGCATATGATTGGAGGGTGACATCGACATCTTCAAAGTTCCCTTTGAGACGAGCGTGCTACTTCTTTCGCATTCGAAGTGGTCGAGTTGTGGTGTCTCGATACGTTTCTATGCATATCCATCATAACAGCCCGGGCATAGAGCCATCTGTACCTCAGGCATTGCGCGCGACTGTATCGAAGGATGAGATGGTAGGGTATAATTGCGGTAGTCACTCGATGCATGTGACAATCGAGATCAAAGAGTTGGTAATGCACATGATGAGACTGCGACCGCAGCTTCGCTAAGGAGAAAGCTTTCCCGCGTATCGATGAAAGCCTACTAATCTTATACCTTTTTGTTCGAATGTATCTATCCGAGTAATGTACTATCTCGTTATAGTGATAATTCCTACCAGAGATGTCCCCGCCAGGAACGACATGTCAATTGGGTCATTTGCTTTGTTATCTGTCCCCTGCTTAGCCATACTCTGTGCGAAATGTATGCACCCGAAAACGATGTTGGGTAACAGCGAAGATGTGATTATCTTACTTCTTTCGCTGTCGTTGATGTGCCCACGATTGCCGTTCTCATCCCACGTCATGGATATCACTAGTCAAAAAGTCCCAGTTTGGGATTTAAGATGCCAGCAAGGAAACAATGTATCATGATATACACTTATAAGCTCTCACCTGCTGACATGGCACACATGGCACAGGTGACATTGTTAGAAGTATACTGTGCAATCGCAGGTGGCCAGAGAAGGTTGAGTATGAGGTTAGTAACATATACATGTAACTGGGAAGCTCGAAAAGTAGCATCCCTTGATCTTGTGGTTCTTTCTATGGAGATGGGAAAGGTTGTACTATCAAACTTGATTTTGTCTCCTTAAAGATGCTGAAGTATGCACACTTAGCAGAATGTGTCAAGAGACATACGGTCGGCTGTGAACTTGACCTAGGCGACTTCAAGTAGGCATATTAACTACGGAGTATTTCTCATAGGCATCCCCTCACGCAGTTATGATTCGCCGTTCGTATACGCACAACACACCGCACTGGCGTCGACACAGCCATACACCAGCCTTCCATCGGAGCCACACACTGCCTTCCCAGCCGTCACAACCACGTCACCACCCTCCATCACGACCAACCTTCTGCAAACGCCAGCCCCATCTTTTGACCCACGCGATCACCTCAGATCACAGATCCACGCTAAGCCCGCATCGCATCACCTTGCGACTGTCAAGAATCCTTCGCTTACCCTTGGTACCTCATTCCAACAATACCCCGTCGCTTTCACTAAGAAAATGCAGGAGGAGTCATTGGCCGCCGGGAGAAATGAGCGCACGGAATATCGTCGACGAGGAGACGAATAGCGAGGAGACTAGGCAAAGAAGACAGCCCTCGCTTGCGGCTTTAGTGTATGTACAGCTTGCATTTGCGGTTGCATAAAGGCGCGCGTGAGCGAGAGTGAGTGAGTATGTGGTATAGTGTATATCCAAGCGATTCGCCAGGCAAACGAAAAGGCTGAGGTCAAGCGAATATACAGCGTACATATAAGGCGCGGCATTATTTTACGGAAACCCTTCTATCCGGCGTCACTGTAGAGCTTGGTGCACAGAATGGCACACGTCATACGAGCGTGGGGAGAGAGGAGCGGTGCAGAAGGGCGGATCAACGGCGCATATGCGGAGAGAAAAGAAGAACCGCTGCCGGAACCAAGTTAGTTGTTAGTAGGCTGGGGGCCTGCCATTATAACCCAAGCCTTTTGGCGAATTGGCGGGTTATACGAGGTAAGAGATGCTGATGATAAGATTACCCTGGTATAGAGCGAGGGTGGGTGATGTGATGGGGGAAGGGATGGGAGGGATGGGATTGCGGCGGCTCCGAGCTCGGGTAAGCTGGGGTGGCTGGCTGGGCTGCAGGATGTGTGCGGGAGTGCAATGAATTATGCGTGCGTGCTCTTACATCTACCAGGGGTGTGGTTTTCCCACGAATGACGTAGAAGCACTGCAGTGGCAGGTATATTGCTTGCCTTGCATTTCTGGTACAGTAACCAAGACCCCTTCTCGTGTTCCGACCAAGTTGTTGTTCCAATATATGTA